AGTCCTTTTTTTTTTTAAATGTTTATTTATTTGAGAGACAGAGAGAGAGAGAGAGAGAGCGCACACAGGAGGGGCAGAGAGAGAGGGAGACAGAATCCCAAGCAGGCTCTGCACCTTCAATGCAGAGCCCAATGCAGGGATTGAACCCACGAACAGTTAGATCGTGACCTGAGCTGAACTCAAGAGTCGGACACTTAACTGACTGAACCACCCAGGTGCCCCAGAAACTAGTCCTTATGAGTAACCGGTAACTACTGCCCCTCTCAAAAACCATTAAAATTCTAAATTCAACAGTAAATTTTAATGGTAATGACTGTACCACAGGATTCTCTTGAATATGTGGCTGAAAGCTGGAACATCTATTTTCCAGAAGCAACCAAGCTGGCAGTCAAGAGCATGGCTCTAGAGTCAGAGAGTCAGGATGGAATGAAGGCCTTCCCACCAAGCAGCTGGTGGCATTAACAGACATCTTTAAAACAGGAATAACACAGCAACTACATTTCGGTAGTTATGAGAATTAAATAACCTATTTAATAACCTAATTAAATAACCGTGTTTCACAGACAGCCTGGCACATGAGAGGTACCAGTTATGTTGGCTTAGATTATTAATGAACAATTTTAATGTCACTGTGAACTGGAATCACTTCAACATTCCCAAAAATGAGGATCTAATTATAGCAGACACAATTGATAAAGCAAAAATTGCAATTTCACAAGACCTTAAAAGAGACGAAAAGGAAATTGTCACAAGTGGGCAAGCCGAAGAGCCTTCCCATTCACTCACACAGCCAGAAACCTGCTCTCGACCTCCCCCTAACCCAGATCCTGGGCAAGCACACGTCTCCCTGCCCCAAAAAGGCTGTGCTCTATAAACCCCAAGCTCCACTCTAACAGGCAAAGAGAACAGAATCCCTATTTCCTTCTCTTGTCACAATTTCTTTATCTCTAGACTTCCTTTGACAGTGAACTTTCCATTAAACACTTGTGTCTATTAATAAAAACTAAGCTCCAGGAGGTCAAGCCCTCAGCTCATTTACTACACAATATATTTACCAAATGCCTACTATGTGTCGGGCTTGGTACTCGACACTGGGTGAAAAGGAACGAGCAGGACAGTCTCTCGTGGAGCTCAAAGTCTAGCCGGACCGCAGACTATACTGGGGGAAACAGATCAACACCTGGTGGAGGAGCTAAAGGCCTCTGGAAACCGGAGCCTGAGTAGTTCAGTCCATTGAGCCTCCAACTCTTGATTTCGGGGCTGACGGGTCAGAGCCTACTTGGGATTCTCCCTCCCCTCTCTCTCTGCCCCTCCCCTGCTTGCATGAGCTCCCTCGCTCTCTCTCTCTCAAAGTAAATAAACTTTTAAAGGGAGGGAGGAAGGAAGAGAGAGAGAGAGAGAAAAAAAGACATCTGCCACCCCCTTAACCAGTCTCCCTCCCATCTACAAAGCCTGGAGCCATTAGCAGGCCCTCAAGCCAGGGTTCCTGGTGAAGAAAGCCTCAAGCAAGCAGCCTAGTGGACAGTGTGGGACAGTGTGCAAGGACATCCAAACCCCACGGAATACTCCAGAACGGGAGTATTTTCTTAACCAAATCACTGGGAATCAGGCCAACCAAGTTCTCCCTGTAATTATGTTTCAGAGAAACCCTCAGGACAGTTTTCAAAAGACAAGTTATTGAATTTACTCACCGGACAATCATTCAGGAATGAAAACAAGTCTAATAAATATGGGCAGAATCTTTTTTTTTTTTAATTTTTTTTTTCAACGTTTATTTATTTTTGGGACAGAGAAAGACAGAGCATGAACGGGGGAGGGGCAGAGAGAGAGGGAGACACAGAATCGGAAACAGGCTCCAGGCTCTGAGCCGTCAGCCCAAGCCCGACGCGGGGCTCGAACTCACGGACCGCGAGATCGTGACCTGGCTGAAGTCGGACGCTTAACCGACTGCGCCACCCAGGCACCCCAGGGCAGAATCTTAAAACATGAAATTGGGAAGAATTTAATAAAGATGCACTTATATCACTGATAATACTGTAAGAAATACAGACTAAATACAGACTATCCCTGAAGCTTGTCAATATGACTTAGAACAAAGACTACACTTGTTTAAGGTTTCCTTTGAAGAAAGTTAAACATTTCACTAAACATAATAATCGGTGTTATTTCCCCATCTTACCAAAGACTTCACAGGAAGAGTTTGTGTTCATTTAAATTATGTTGCCTAAAAACCTGCCACGGGCATCTGGCAATCCACTAAGCGAGGACTGAGAATTGGTCTGCTGGGGCAGTCAGGAGCGAGAGTTTTGCACTTATCAGAGAAAAAGAAAAAAACTACATGTTCCAAACCTTCTTCCTTAGCAGTGTGAGGGACTCCTTAATTTTATCAACCAGGTCCTCGCTCTTCCCCTCAAATTTCAGTCCAAGTTTCCACTGCTTGATCCAATTGTATTTGCTTATGAGTTTTTCTGGTAACTGGATTATCAAGAAACAGAGAGATAAAGAGGTGTTAGAACCAAGAAATCCATCACAGGATCCTGCAGAAACCACAAAGCCTACAAAACCTACCTTTGTTTCCAGAATTCATTCCTGCACATTTGTCTGGGTTTGGGATGGAGGGACCTAAATCTGGAATTGTGAACTCAGAAAGCACCACCCCCCTCCCCCAACTCCAGGAGGCTGCTGGAGTCAAATGGTGCTTCTGGTTGAGATACAAAGGCAACATTCAGCTTGCTCAGCTCCAACCACAGCCAGAACATTCCACAGCACTTTGTGAGGGCACATGAAGGCAGGGTCCACATCGTGTCTTCACAAACCACACAGGCAGCTACTGGGCTCAATGGCAGCCTCCTGCCGTCCCTAATGCCCAACTTAGGAAGGCGCTTCAGGCACGCAAGATGGTCCAGGATAAAGTAAAAACCAGATTCTTTCCTGATTAGAAATATAAAGCCTAATTTCCAGTATTGCCAAATATCCCCAAAGTTTTGATATTCAAAAAAACAATGTGTATCTAGTTTAACCTAAGCCTGATCAATATCGTAAGATAAAGAACACCATGGAGAATAAGGAGCAGAGCTAACAGCCGCGGTGGCCTAGCTCATTAAAGAAGTGACAGCTGACCTACTACTTTGCCTGTTTTTTTTTTTTTTTTTTTTTTTTTTTTTTTTTTCCTGGAGGGTGTTTTATTTTGTTTTCCCCTAATCAACAGAAGCTGGAGTCTGAGAGGCAAGCTGGGACACAACCCGGTCGATGACGGCATGGGAACCCCGACACTCCCAACAGTCTTGGGTGTGTCAGAAGAACATTCCTAATTAGGCTGGGCACAGGCATGTCGCTTCCCTGCTATAAAACCCAGAAAGGAAACGACAGTTCACCTCCAAGTCAAAGGATCGTTAAAGGAGAATTAATTCCGATGACATCCTACGTGGAACGAGAGAGCCTGTTTAACGGTCCTGAACACAGGTTTAAATGAGGCCACAGGCTCAGTTCCCCAGGCATCTAAGACCCTGAAGACCCTTTCCCAAAGGGCCATTCCAATGTTACCTTCTCAATCTACAGCAATCATGTAAACCAAAGGTGGTTTCCTTTCTGCAGAAAACAAAACCACACAGGGAAATTCCTCTTTAGGTAAAGTTACCCCAGGGACCACGATCCACACTCACTCACTAAGCGGGGCGGGGCTGTGTTCTCCCCATTTCCTGTGACCACCCCGCCAAGCAGCCCAGCTCCGCACCCACGCTGCCCAGCATTTGGGCAACGTGTGCGCCGTTTTGCTGCGAAGCTTCAGTTCTGCTTTCAGATCTGTCACCAGAACCTAAAATGCCCTCAAGTGGCAACAAGTTGAAATCACAACGGGGCACAAGGAAGTGCAAAGAGCAGGAAATACCCGCTACACTGGGAAAAGGGGTACAGAGAAGCCCAGGAGACCATCTGAGCGGCACAGGACGCTGTGCACATACCTAAAAAGCAGGCACCACACAAGTGAGTTACTTGAAAGTCCCCAGCGTTCTAACTACACACAGGGAACCCCTGACATAAAAGTCCGTTTCCTCATTCCTTCCACGCACGGGCGAACTGTTGCTAGGAAATGCCCTCGCTCAGGGGCGCATGCCTCTGGGAGACGTGGAGATCCTGGAGAAAGCCCGAGAGACAAGGTGTGAAAAAGAAACAACGAGGAAAGAATAATGCAGCTGGAACGATTTATTCAGAAGAAAAAATGGATCTACCTCTAAACGCTTCCCAGAGTCACGGAACAGGGAAGTAGCCATTCTTTTCTACCACGTACACAGACGCTGCACTTCTGCTAGAATGAGGGAGACTCAAGCAAAAAACAAGACCGAAACAAGAAACCAGGGTTGGACGCGTTTCAGAATAAAGTCGGTGGCCCGCTGAGAAGGAGTCCCACTTGTGACTCCACAACTGCCCGCTCTCTAGCAAGTGTCCACAGTCCTTGGCACCATTGCCATGATCAAAAGGACTGTAGGTTAACAACGATGCACCCCCAAAACGAACGCATGAAGAGAGCTCCGATGTACAAACACTGTCACAGGTCCCACCCGTTCAGAGACATTCTAAAACTCAGCGAAGGTGCCCTGAAGGACAACCCCCTCTCGGGGACCAAGACACGCCCCAAGTTTAAGAGCAGCCAGACGGAGCCACCTCCGACACTGGGGTCAGGGTCAGGTGGTCCAGCTGTAGTCAAATACGGAGACTGGGATCTGGAGACAGGGGCCCTGAGCAGGGTAGGGGGAGAGAGGCAGTGAGGGCAAAGCTCACACCCCAGGCTGAGACCAAAGCAAGGCCAGGGGAGAGTGCAAGGGCTTGGACTAAGGGGAGGAGGGTCTCTCAGTCCAGCTCTCCTCTCTCCCTTTTACGTTCCGAAACGAGTATGTTCTAGGAAAGAGGGAAAAGGGCAAAATGCTACAGAGAACAGATCTCAATCTGCAAACAGGCAGATACAGCCAGCTAAAGGGTGCATGTCCCTTGGTGACAACATATGGCTCCTCTGGGCTCGCCCGGATTCCGGATGAGGTCAAGAGATGCTCCGCAGTGCCCGGCCTACGGCCCAGAGGCCGACATCAGTTCTCAGTCCACAGACTCACACAAGCTTAGGTGTCCCAGGACCTCTCTGATCCCAGAAGCTGAAGGGGTGGGTTAAGGGAGAGCCGGTGCGGTTCAGGAGAGGCCGAGTATGTGACATGAGAGTCCCTTGAACCTGCCTGCTGAGAGCGGCTCACCCGTGTCCCCAGAAGTGGTCAGTGCTGTCACACTCCTAAAAGCCCCACGGACACACGGTAACCACAGGCGGTGGTGCCATGAACAAACCAGGACACATGACTGTCACTGGACACAGGGTGGCAGTCAGAGGCGGTTGGGGCGCGTCAGAAAGACCAAGGAGCAGGGTAAACGGACACAGACTCGTCACCGGCTCTGCTCACGTGTCCACGACCACAAGCCCACACCATCTCGCACACAAGAACTTCAGACCAGGCTGTAATGGCAAGCGGGGTTTCGCTTAGAATGACAGGATACATGTCATCCTGACGTATCAGGAAGATGCATGAGAAACGACTTTCGTATCAACACTCCTGTAAGACTGTCTTGTTCTGCAGCAACAGACTTCTTAAATATCACGCGATCTGCTTCTCTTAAGCAAGCGTGCTCGCACATTCGGACTTTACAGTCAACAGGTGACTTATCACCGTTATACAAGCAGTGTGTGGAGACAGACAAACCCCCCTCCGAGGAGAGGTGGCTGACACCCCACCAGGCCGAGCCCTGGTCACACCCCACCTTCTTCCAGGCCTGCAGCGAGGCGCCACCCCTGCAGCTCTCACGCCAAAGAGGCTCACGCCAGGCTGTGTGTTGGACTTTGTCGAGGAAGACGGTGCAGGGGGAGCCAGGCTGAGAAAAGCAGAATGTCCTGGTGACCTCCGCCCAGGTGTGCCCTTGAGGCCAGTGACCCCGGCTGGCAGCGCCCTAATCTCTAGCTCGGCTGCCACCCGGCTTCCTCTAAGTCGTCTTCATTCCAGGCAAATACCCCAGCCTTGGTCCCTGAGCAGGAACGTCAGCTTCGTGGAACCACAGGCCCAGAGCTGTACCGCCCTCGACACGGGGTCTGACCAGCCCGGTCCCCGGAGGCAGGGACTGTGGTTCAACCAGTGTTCCTTGAGTTCATATGACTTCACCATTCTCACTGCCCGACCACATCCGCAGGCCCGAGGGGCGGAGAAGTCTGGCCGAACTTCGCGTCATTCATCCTCACGTCCTTCCCAAGCTGCCGTTAAGGCAGATCTCCCACAGCGAGCCCTCTTGGGTTTTGTTTAGTGGTCTGTTGCCACTGCTGTTGGCGTTTAAGCACGGGACTTCTGATTTTCTTCCAACTAATGCCTCATGACCAGTTCTGCCCAATCATTCCTGCCCATCACACTCTTTTTGGGTCATTCTAGCATCCAACCTATCACGTGACTCCATCTGCTGTGTGTTGTAGGCACAAGCCACGATGACACGACATTCTGGGGTGTCACTACCACGCTGCAGATTTAAACCAAAGACGGCCAGGCACTGGACGCATCCCCCGACCCTCGCCTCCCAGGAAGCCTCTTGACGGCCACCTGCGGCACCGATCCTCTTAACGCCGCAGAAGGTGCTGATTTCTCGCACTGAAGCTAGAACCACAGAAACCTGCCTTCTAAAACCCCAGCGGGTTCTCAGATGGTGCCACATACAGCCCGCCTCCTACCGACACCAACGTCGAGTCGAACTGCCCGTACGTAGTTTTTACAAACTATAAACACCAGCTCTCTTAATTCATTCTCAATTCTCAATTAATCCTTCGTTCTTTACTTGAATTGTTCAAATAAACGTGATGGCTCTTCTCTCCTGGGAAACAGCAACGGTTCTTGGTCCTTCTAGCATGCAAAATCATCCCGGCCACACGAGAATGGAGAAACCCACACGCCGACGTCACGCCGCGGACAGCACCGGCAAGGAGCCCAGGCCGAGGCGCGAGCTCTTTCTCACGAAAACGATGGAAACATTGCGGACTCAAACCTGCAGCAGCAGCGTACCAGCGTGAGCTCCGGGTCCTGCAGCCAGGACGGCAGCGCTGCCGGCTGGCTCATCGCCTGGAACAGCGTGGCCCTCAGCGCACAGTAATTGTCTCCACGGACTCGCCGTATAGAGGTGAACTTCTGCGACACCTCCTCGTAGCCCTGGGTGGAAGCATCAAAGAATTCAAAGTGGGCATTATTGACTTCGGAGGGTAGGGAAAGTTTTATTCCTGTGGGAAAAAACGTGCCCCCCCACCCCCACCCCATTGCTGGAAGAACGAGAACAGGCTGGCAGAGGCCTCCTCGAACTTTTCCCATTCCAGTTTTTATTAATCCGAAGAAATTAACAGATGCTAGTACTGTACAAAACATCAGCATATGTAACAGATCCAACACACGAGAACATATAAATAATATACCAGATATTATGAAAACACTTCCAGCCCCTGGAGCTGGAGTTAGACGTCCCTTTTCTACACAACTGTTGTTGACACTTACTTATTGATAACCAACTTCTGAGGGGTTTAAGCTGTGTTGAAAGGGACCCTAGCTCTAAAGAAGAGATAGGAAATATAAAGATATATTCCTATATTTCCTATAGAGAGATATATTTCCTATAGAGAAATAGAGAGAGAAACGTACTAAGTTTCCACCTCCATATTTTAAAAAAGTAAAAAAATCCCTTGGGGCGCCTGGGTGGCTCTGTCGGTTAAGTGTCCGACTCGCTTTCGGCTCGGGTCATGATCTCGCGGTTGTGAGACCGAGCCCTGTGTCAGGCTCTGTGCTGGGCGTGGAGCCTGCTTAAGATTCTCTCTCTGAGAGAATCTCTCTCCCTCTGCCCCCCTCGCACACGTGCATGCTCTCTCTCTCAAAAAATTAAATTAAAATTAAATTAAATTAAATTAAATTAAATTAAATTAAAATAAAATAAAATAAAATAAAATAAAAATCCCAAGCTTCCATGGTATACTTAAAAAAAGTCCACATGCTAGAAGATATCTGGATAATTCCATTAGACTCTTTAAAAAGTGGATTCAAGTGTCATTCTTATTCAGTCTGGAAGTGAAACGAGGAAATGAAAATGATGAGTGACATACGTGTTCAGTCACTCAAACACAGCCGTCCAAATGGACCATTTTAAAGCCTACTCCAAAAGCAGCCCCCATAAAATGGTCCACAGGCACCGGGCCAAGCTGCTCCTGAGGCTCGAGTGTCAGGATCCACTTTGCTGCCTCCTGCACTTCTCTGGCCTTGTCCTGTGGGCCCTGCTGCCCATCTCGCTCGTCCTTGACTGTTGTCACCTGAAGCTCTGCTTCCTCCCCTGCACTTACACAAAAGGAGCATCGCCCTTAACGTGGGGTGGACACCATGCAGACCGTGCCCAAGTACGGGACCCTCGTTATTAGTTTTCAAGGGGCAAGTCACAGGATGATGTTCTAAGTGGGTGTGAAATGATTTCTTTCCAACAATAAAATTTTGAGAGTTGCGTTTTCACTTAGTGGTCCAATCACTGCAACACAGTAAGGGCCCACCGAGCACCTCTTCCCTTCGGTGGACTCCCAGCTATCCCGGGAATACTCGCGATGGCTAACTCAGCAGTAACTGCATCTTTCCAAATGCACCAATTACTCGTGCTATTTCAGAGGTGACTCAAACTTCTAAAACTAAATTTGGATTTATACACACTTACTTCCAAAAGAATACCCAAAACAAAAATAAACCGTAAGATAAACAAGGGCAAAAAAAAAGAACCGAGACACCCAACTGTTACCAGGCCCCTGAGATGCTCTAATTACTGCCACGGGTCCCAGAGTGACACTTTTCTAACTGATGTGCCTTTGGTTATTTGGTCACTGAAAGAGTCCAACTACATGGTCAAATCTTTCTCTAGAACTAAAATCACAAAGAAACGATTTTAGCATGAGTTGCAAAATATGGAATATGTGGATACCCTTAATAGATACGTTCAATTATGGACCCAGAGGTGCCAATTGTTAGAATAGATCCTTTAAAGAGTCTGAGGTCATGAAATAAAATTGCAAGTCAAGGAAAGCATTTCTGGGGAAGATGAGAAGACATATGTTAGGTATCCAGCCTCCTGGTTGTCTAGTTTGATATGGGGCTGTTTGGAAAACCTCTAAGCGGACAATACACGTATTCGGCAGATGGCCTCACAAATTTAAATGTTCATGGTCCCAGATATTTCATGAGTGAGCTCTCCACCAAGTGCCTGAGACGTGAGGAGTCTACAGTTCAGACTCGCAGGGAGCAGAGCTAAATTTGGCTCTCAGAGCTTTAAAAGTAGCAGCTACATTCTGAGTAAGGTCAGCCCACTGCAGGGCAAGCATGAGCAGCTGAGGTGCGTGTAGAAGAGGCACAATCGTTTCTATACAAACAAGCTCAGGGGTGCCTGGGTGGCTCAGTCGGTTGAACGTCTGACTCTTGGTTTCGGCTCAGGTCATGATCCCAGGGTCATGGCATCGGGCACAGTGCCGGGCTCCACAGTGAGCACGGAGCCTCGTTAAGACTCTCTCTCTCTCTCTCCCTCTGCCCCTCTCCCCCACTCGCACTCTCTAAAATAAAAAATAAATAAATAAAAACAAGATGTAAAGAAAAGAACAGATGTATACAAGTATTTTTAAATTTTAAACCCTAAATAACACAGATCTAAACAACAACAAAAATAGACACTCCTATCAAATATGACAGGTCAATACCTCTAGTACAAAAGTACATTCAAAGTCATAATGTAAATAATCCCAAGAGAAAAATGACCAAAGGATAAACCCAGAGGTTATAAGAAGGGATGGAAGTTTTAGGTTGAAACTGCTTTAAGTAGCTCAGAAACGGTCAGAGTAGCAATTCCACATCGTTCAACACACTAAGGAATATTGGACTCAGGGTCCATTTGAGGGGAGAACCAACAGGGTGCTGTGGTCGGCCAGTACGCACTGCGGCGGGCCAAGGGTCCAACTGAACAATAACCCAGCCAGTCACAGCAGGACCACGTCATGGGCATCCCAAATGTCTCACAGCCTCAGACACTACCTAGGGGGTATCAATCTATGCAAAGGGACAAGGAGGGGCAGCTCCAGGGACACCTTAAATAAAGGGAGCAGTTCCAGATCCCTTTGCATAAGGAGTGCAGGAGAGCCCAAGCCCCTCAGACAGGAAGGCATGAAACCAAACCCAGGTGGGGACAGCAGGAGGCATGGCATCTGCTGGCCCCTCCCTACGGCTTTTACCACAACAAGCCAGAAGGACCTGGCCCCGAATGACCAAATGACCCCAAGAGGACACCCAAGGACTGACCCTACTCTGAGCAGCACAAATCTACACCTAACAGATATGTTTTTCCAAGAAACTAAGTTACGGAATAACTGATACTGACTCTGTATTAATACTATGATTCAAAACAAGTCCCTTACCTTTGGAGTCCGTTTCCTCATCTCTAAAATTAGAATAGCGATACTTACAACGTCTAATAGCAGTTGTTGTAACTATGTCTAAAAATATAAAAGGACATACTACGTAATTACTTATGACAGACTATTTGAAAGGCCTGAACTGTGTGCATGTAGGCACTGTACCTTTTTCATACACGTGGCTTTTTGTGTATTTCCCCTCCATTCTTTTTTGCAGTAGTCCATGATGTCCATTTCAGGAGCTACACTTAATCTGACTTCTGTTGAAGAATCAAAAACAGGGGTGGGTAATGAAACAAAGCACAATCAAAACAACAGACGGCTTTACTCAGAGGTTACTTCTTCTCTCACTTCATTCCAAAAAGACCCAGAATCCCCCCAACCTCCCATCATCACCTCACTCCTGGATAACCTGGAGGTGTTCCAGTGGGCCTCCCTCGTCACCATACCTCACTCTCCACACAGCAGCCAGACACTTCAAACTTGAGTCAGACAACAGCCATCACCCCCGGGTTCTGAGAGCTCCAGAACCCCCTGAGTGGAATGGATATCCTTACTTCCTACCAAGGCCCTTAGGTCCCACCCCCGCCCCACCGCGGCGTCTCTGGCCCCTGCTCCCACCCCACCTGCGGCCTCGCCTGTACTTCTCCGACACACCTGTGGGCCTCCGTCGCTCCCTACCTACCAGTCTCTGCTCAAATGTCACCTAACACCCCTAGGTCCCAACGCCCCCCGCACACCTTCACTCTATTCCCCTTCCGCTGTTTTGTTCTTCTTGGCACTGATTAACACCTGACGTATTTCTTTTTCTGCATTCCTCCCCTGAACCCCCACACATACCCGCACCCACAGACACAATAAGGCATAATTCCTTGACGGCAAGGGCTTATTTTGTGTCTCAGCTGTGATCTTAGCACCTGGCATTGCACTGCCACAGGGTGTCCTAGAATACTGTTCTAATCAAATTAAATGTGCACGTCTCAGCCGTGAAAAAATACATCTACTGGTTTTTAATTAGTTTTTAGATCCATTATACAAAGAGATAACAGCTACTTTAACAAAAACTGTATCTGTCTTTATTTATTTATACTCTGCCTGATCCCAAAAGGCTGTAAAGCTGCTGACAATAAGCCAGAAGCTAACGGAGCTCTCAATGTTAGCTGAACCACAGACCTCATTTGACTCGAACGATACGTTAAAAATACGACTTGCAATCAGACAAATTATATAATAAAAAATGGCTTTTAGATTTGCCTTATTTAAAATATAAGGTATGGGTTTGATTTGTAGTATACATGTATGCACACGCATGGGTGTGTGTGTTTTAGGAAGAAAGTGAAGGAAATTCTCAGGCACATCTCGATCTCCTTTTTAAATTATTGAAGAAGTAAACGTCAGCGAGGAAATTAGGATACAAACACAGAAGTACCTTACAAGGTATTTACTCTTGAGGAAGGAGTAAATTAAAAACACACTCAGCCCAATTCAACAAACATTTACTGAATGTCTAACATGTGCCAAGCACTGAGCTGGAAACCGGGGTCACGAAGGCCGTTAAGACCCGGACTCTGTCCTGAATGGGTCTGTAGACGGAAGAAGAAAAGACCACAGGAAGAAGAAAAGACACAATCCAGGGTGTGATGGGTAGAGGCATGAGTAAGGAACACAAAGTCCTTTCTGCAGATAACATACATACAATTCTCTGTGGCCTAAGTCAGGACCGGCTTAAACGTAAACACACCTTGAAGCATAACACACAGACACCACACTTCTCGATGCTGCACAGCCAATCCTCAAATGCAGACCCATCGGTGCTTAACTTCAAAAACCATTTTTTGAGCGTCTACGCAGTGGAGGGAAGAGTTCCTCGTATCTGCCTTCTCACTCACCTCCCCACAACGTACAAGGAACTGCAAACATTCAGAGTTGAGGACACTGACTGGGCCACAATTTTCCACCAGGCAGTGTTGTGAGCCTGTCCGGACAGCACACGTCCAGCTCAGGAAGGACATCATGGGAACAAAGTCCAGCCTTCCTGCTCTCCCAGCCCGCGTTCCTCATTCCTGCCCACACCAGCAAAAGCCCTGGGCCCCGGGCAGGGTGGGCCTGGTCACCGGCCCAAAACCAAGAGGAGGAGGAGGAGACCTCACGAGATCGAGAGGACAAGTCACAGGCCACAACCCTGTGCTGAACGAGAGGCCTGCGGGAGGCAATGAGGGTTGGGAAAGGGAGGACGCACACGGCTACCAGCATCAAAGTGACACTCTAAGTCCCGTCCTGCAGCTGTTCTTGGGAGGAAGGCTCCAACAACCTCCGCACGCCCTCCTCTAGGACAGGAGCTAGAGGCACGGGACAGGCAGTGCCTGACCTCAAGCAGCTTGCTTTCTTTCTTTCTTTCGTTAACTGCAAACTACAGACTCCGTTACTATTTCCAAGAACGAACATTGTTTTTTAAACGTTTGTTCATTTCTGAGAGAGAGCACGCACCAGCGGAGAAGAGGCAGAGACAGACGGAGGATCCAAAGCAGGTTCCATGCTGACAGCACAGAGCCTGATGTGGGGCTTGAACTCCCAAACCGTGTGATCGTGACCTAAGCCGAAGTCTAAGACGCTTAACCAAATGAGCCACCCAGGAGCCCCAAGAAAGAACATTTCAAATGGCAAAAAAAAAAAAAAAAAAATCCAAAGGAGAAACTGAAAACTAGGTGATAACCAGGAGCTCAAATAACCAAGAGGTCTGGTCCTAACCCCCATACGGTAACAAAGACAAGGAGTCAGAACCTGGAAAGATGGGCACTTAAAACTGAACTTCAGAAAGCTGGGACTCTCAGTCAAAGGGCAGGCTAGGGCAAGAATCACACTTTTTCTGTAACGGGCTAGAAAATAAATAACGTAGGCTCTGAGAGCCGTAAGGTTTCTGACATAATTACTCAACTTTACCATGTGTGAAAGCCATCACACACAATATGTAGACTAAGAAATTCCAGTAAAACTTTATCAAACTAGGTGGCACATCGGATTTGGCCAGGGAGCCATAGTTTGCCAGCCCCAGGGCCCTTTTGTTAATGAAAGGTGTTTTCACTAATAAAGAGAGAGCAAAAGAAAACTTTCTGCATTCGTCCGGGCTCTGGCTTGGGAAAGAGGAAGTCTCCCAGAGAATTCATAATCACAGGCTGGCTCTCATACAGGGACAGGGCGGGAATTCAGATTAGCCCCAAGACCCTGGAAATTCAAGTTTAGAAATTAACATAATGTGGCCCAAGGTTGGTGGCACCCCGGGTGCCTAGCGGGAACAAGGCCAAACTCTCTCACACTCGAGGCAGGGCGCACGAGCCCTATACAGAAATGCAAAATCTGAGCTTGCAATTCAAACTTCGAAGAAACAAGCAAAACTAGCACAGGGCATAATTAGACCTGCTAAGATTTTCAGGGAATGAACTGTTCAGATCCAGAAGACTATGTTTTAAATGCTTAAAGAAATAAAAGGAGTAAGAAACATGAGCAAAGGGCAAAAAACTATCAAAAAGAGACCAGGCAAACCTGAAGGCAAGACAGAACTTTTTAAAAAAGAAACATTTTATTTTTAAATCTCTACACCCAATGTGGGGCTTGAACTTACATCCAAAAGATCAACAGTTGCACGCTCTACTGACTGGGCCAGCCAGGCGCCCCCAGAACTTCTCCAAAAAAGAAAGAAAAGAAAAGAGATCCCAAGAAATAGTACAGAACGGAACAGGGGCTACAAGAAAAAAATCTACAAAAGGGCACGTCATGAAGAGCTTGGATGACTGAAGGAGGCCAGCACACACCTACTTAGAGTTCTGGAAGGAGTGAGCAGAGAGAATGAGAAGAAGACAATATTCAAGAAGATAATGGCTGAGAATTCTCCCAAACTGATGCAAACTAGGCATCTAGGGATTCAAAAGGAAGAAGACCTCAAGCAGCGCGTTTTTAAAAGTCCACCCTTCACAGACATCAGAAAGAAACTGCAGAAAAACACGACACATTATCTACCAAGGGTTGGTGTGACCGCGGTACTGCCACTCCCCCAGAAACGACAAGACAACGGGATAGTCCTCAAAAAGGTCACAGAAAACACCTGATCGTCTGGAGTTATTCAACAACAAAGTGAAATAGAGAAGTTTTCCAGCAAACAGAGCATCCTACCAACAGACCCTTCAAGAGGCACTTCCCAAGGATCTTCTTTCAGGAAGGGCAACGAACCCAGAAGGACTGAGATGCAGGAAGGAGTGTAAAGGGATCCACTCCGGCCTCGGACTGAAGCTGGAAATGACACCGCTCACTGAAAAGCTAAAACACCCGCAGCATGTGGAGGGCTACGCTGGCGGTCAGAGTCGAATCACCGCAAAGCAAGCCAGCGGGCCCCGCAAACGCAGCAGGGACACCCAATGACGAAGGAACCGCTTGCTCCTCAGGAATATGAGTAACCAGGAAGGCCTCTGCGTCCAAAGTGAATCGTGTGCAGCGGCAGCAGCAGAAACAGAGCACCTGTGGAAACTTCACGGAGGACGGAGCAGTGTGGCCAAGGAACGCCCCTGAATGGACGCCTACAGAGAACGTCTTCGAGAGCTAGCACGGTAAAGAGGTCCACCAACTCCTTGTGAGGACAACTCAAGGAAGCCTTGAACATGATCAAAAACCCCGCTTTGTATCATTTGTTCCTAATCACGCACATGACAATTATTTTTGTTAACCATAAAGTACACAGCAGTTAGTTTTCAAAACCGACCGGCAGCACACTCACATGACACAGGTCATGAGAGAGACGGTGGCGCTGGTGGATCGTTTATGGAGCATCCCCCGAGTGGAGCACCCCCACTCGGCCCCAACGGGGACCAGCCAGGGAAGGCCCTGCCGGCCATGCGCCCAGCGGAGGAGGCCAGGGGTAAAGCCTCACCCTAGCGGCAACGGGCCCGTGGGTTCTGGGCGCGGTGAGAAGAGCAGGCATAACTGAGCAGAAACACGGACAAAAAGTCATGAAACAATCAGAGGATTCGGGCTACTGATCCCGTGATCGTTCTTTCTCACAAGCCAGTGGCATCCACGTGGCCACCTGCATGCCAAGATGCATGGAGCCAGCTTCTCAAGAAGTCCTTCTGCTGGAAAGGAAACGTGCATTTCAAATCCAAACTCTCCCTCTAAGAATATGAGGTCATGAATGAGGGAGGTGGCGTCACGAGATTAAGCAAATCCGCACGCTGCGAAAATGATACGAATGTAGAGAACGCAGGGAGAATATTGGCATGAAATTTTTAAAACCTCAGGAACCAGTACTCCCCAAACATACCTCAGCAAAATGGATAACGAGACGCAGCTAAGGCCATACGCAGAAGGATGTTTCCTAGGAAGCACGTCTCAGTATTTTATGGAAACGGATACAGCGATTTAACTGCATTTTCTACTATAAATAGTAAGAAGTCTATGAATAAAACAATTCCAAACATACCTGATAACCCTCTTTCATGTATAAGTAATTCTTTCTCCTTTTCTATTTCATCCGCGTCACGATACATGTCCTCCTCACTGAAATCACACCAAATTAGACATTTCAAAAATTTGTTGCACTGACATTTTCCCTCTTATTACAGTATGCGCTTGCTTAAAAAATCTGTAAGACACGAAAAGTTTAACTTTTTCCTGTTACGTGATGATGACTGAGAAAGTGTGGCTCTCAAATCCTGGTTGCACATGTTGCTATCACTCCACAGTTTATGTCACAAGCAAATTTTACAAACACTACTTTAAAAACAAGGACAGGAAAACATCAGTTATTACACGTCCTCAACGCTAAAAGCCCTCCCAAGGCTCCTCTGCTCCCTGACCCCCACGCTCACGTTGCCACCCACGTCCTGTGGCGCATATCCCTACTGGCCCACGTACTTGAACTGCTGCAAATCTGACTGACTTGGGACTTACACGACAGGTTCCTGAAGAGTCTCCAGTCTCATCTAGTGACTGAACGAGAACCTACTATGTACTAGAGAAGGAAGAAAACCCCACAGGTGCTGCACGAGGATTGAAAAAGGGTGCCTCCTTTGCCCCGCGAGATAAACCACAACCTGACAATGATGAGAAACAGAAATACCAGCTCTATCTTGGCTCAAACCACAAGACATGTGAAAGCCCCCACAGTCCCAAGGTGGACCAAGAGTAAGTGACAAGAGGACAGGACAGCCTCCATGCCGGTGGATGGTACGACCAGTAAACCCGCAGGACCCCATAAAGGCTCAGGGACCAGAGGTGCCAAGTACTTCTCAGGGTGCAGGAGACGCCCAGAGCTGAAAACAAGGAAACTGGCTGGTGTACACATAGGGTGAAAGCAGACCCCTAATTCCCTACAGTCCTCCCCCCCACCCCCCTACCCCCCCACCCCCTGTGACAGCACAGCCCCAGTCCTCACGCCAGACAGAGGCTCCAGGTGCCAATGAATCACAGGAAGGGGTTAATAAGGTTAATAACAAGGAATTAAGCGACCGACCCGAGAAACTCCCATCCCCGGTGACCGCGGCACCCCAGCTCCCAGCACATGGCCCAGCATGGCAGGGGAAAGAGGAAGGAAGAGGTGAGCGGGAGCAAGAGACAGAAAGGGTACTGAGAGAAGCAGAGCGAAGTGGGGAATTTAACAAACCCGCCTTCTCCCACGTCACTGAAACCCTACGATGGCTCCCAATAAGCAGGCAGGTCTACACGTGGACCTAACCCGCCGATCTAGCCTGCAGGCCACGATTCCTCTCCGCACAGCCACGCTTCAGTCCAAACACGGGACCAACACCAGCCTCTACTTTTACACCTGTGACTGGCTCCATCCGCTCCCTCTGCTTGCACGGCTCGCTGCTTAACACATCAGGACACACACAGCACGGGCGGCCCCGCCGCAGAGCACCATGGCTAGAGTGGGGGCCGGAAGTCATGTCAGGGTTTAGCCGCTCCTTGGCACCTTACAGCCCTGTGTGTGGGACCGTGGAACTAAACTAGCTGTAACTCTCAGCACCCAGATTTAACTACCTGTGAACAATAGACAGTACTCTCCTCAAAAGACTGTTGTAAAAAGACACATATAAAACACGAGCGCTCTAAAAAGTTAGCTATTCTCCTTCTCATACTACGGCACTGGTGCAGAGTATTAATAAACGGTTTGCCCGATGGTCATTTCCTGTTCCTTTTTTTCTTTCTAAATAAAGGCGATGGTGTGTGTGCGTGCCTATTTTTTTAAAACACCGTGGGGCTGAGAGGACATATTAGGAAAAGGTACTTTCCATGTGCTCTGACCCCCGTGAGATTCCAAGTAAAAGGTATGGTGTCACCCAGGGAGCCCACGCCAGAGGTAAAAGCAAACAGAAACCAGATTCGCGGAGACCAGACATCAAACGCCTAAAATAAAAAGTGACTAAATATGTTAGTTCTTCTTTCAATAATTTTGTGGTAACTTCTGGCCTCCTTGCTAGCTTTATCGAACAGGAGAGAACTTGATCCTGTAAGACAAGCATTTAAGTGAACCACTTTCTTGATCATCATCAGAAGCATGTCTTCAGGCAAGCCACTTCCCTAATCTTGGCCTCCGTTTTCTCATCTTCAAAGCGAGAGGAGTAGACTAGATCCGCATGATCTACATGGTTCCTCTTCGAGGACTTAAGTTCTAACACACTATCAACCTATGTGTTGTTAAAAAAAACTGTACTTCGGGCGAATTCTGTGGCTATGCCGCAGGCACATTTGGGTCTACTTTTGTCCTCTTCCTTTTTACCCTGCAAAATAACCAAAGTGCAATCAGGACACCAGTGCCCAGAGGAAGTTCCCTAAAGGAGCATCTCTCAGGACAGCCACACGTACAAATTGGCACCAAGGCCAATAGGAAAGGAACAAGGAGAAGTCAACATGAGAACAAAATGCAAAGGGAAGACAGAGTAGAAGGAAAGATTATTGGAAATAAAAAGCAGTGAGTCAAGATACACAAAACCAGCAAAGCAGAAACTGACAAATGGGAGGCCAGAGCACATTCAAATTACTTTAGCCACAATCAGATTTCATTCAGATCCTGTGCACAAACGTTTGCTAACGTCCCTAGCCCCCAAGGACAAGCATTCAAGGACATTTGCTAACTTCACAAAGCCACCAAGGAAATTGTAATATGGCCTTTAATTAATTCCTTGGAGACAGAATAAATTTTAAGTTTAAGCAGTAAGTTCCATTAGTATGGTCAGAGAAGAAGATATTTAACAGCCAAAATGAAATAGTCCCCCAACATAAGGACAATCAACTGGAAAGAGAGAGAGATGTGACAGCAAGAAAAATAAAAATTTTAAGAAATTAGTTCACTCAATATATTAAAGCTGAAAATAATGGCAAATGAAGCATTTACCAATTTATTATAAATACATACGTACTATTTATAAGTGTATTATTTATTATTTATGTTTTTGTTGTATATTAATTATATTTAAATAGCTAGAAGCTTGAATTTTTGTTATGAGAAGGGAGGATAGTGAAATAATGAAAAGAAAAAGGATATTACGTTGTAAGATAAAATTGTCAATGCTGGTCAGTTTCAGAAATTTGGTAATTTTTTGTGTTTATGAGTCAAGTTGGAGTAGGAATGGGGAGTGACTACCATTTGGCACTAACGAGGCCACCAAAGCCCAACGACTCAAATGATCACCACCACAAAAGCCTTCCTTCTAGAAAATATACCGATAGCTAGAAAACTAAGACAAAGTCTTAAATGTGACTTGATTTTGGGGGGACCATGGCATTCGTGAATCATGCTCAATTACACAACTCAGTTAAATTTCAAAACCAAAATCCTAGTAAGTTCCACTTAGAAAATTCCTAGAAATTCTTAGTTTATCACCATAATGTTATTTTAAAGTGTATATTTTCAAGCCCCCGTTTTCTCCTAAGCTAGAGATGAAATATTTTATTCTTAATATTAAGGCAATATACATGATTAAGTTACATGACTTTGCATACTAAATTATAATCTCTCTTGCTCTGTTTAAAGACCGGAGTTAACAATAAATTTTTGAAAACTTAATTTAAAAAGGCTTACTACAAACAGACAAAATTATACTATTGCCAAGAACAAAAGCTATAAACTAAAAATACATCGGTCAGTGAAGCAAGACATTTCTGCAAAGCCAATTTTTCAATTTCTGATACAAGTAAACAGGTTATATGAAAAAAAGTCAATTCTAACTTCTATGCAAAGCTAAGACAGCATGTTACCCACTCATTATGAACACTTGCATTAAGTTCCCCTCTGTTGCCTAAAAAGGCTAAACTGAGTATGACTTTGTTTGGCTCTCTGGACTTGAACGCTGCCGTTCATGCTTAACTTGGCCTATCCTAGAACGCCAATGGCCCAGGCAGTGTTGGTGAGACGGTGTCAACCATGGGACAGCAATGTACCTTCCCACAGAGGCACAGGAAAAACAAAGACCACTCAACCCAGCCTCTCTCCACCACTTAGCGGCTGTAGAGATGGGTGAACAACACATCAAATGCAGGAAAGTACCGGCACCCAAGCCAAAATTCCACCTCCCTTCTGCGAGCGGACTTTCCATGACTGGCTCATGCTACTCCAGAGGTATCTGGGGACAGCCCAGACATCCTCAACAATGAGGTTGGAAACAAGCTTTACCTCCAGGTGGGAGAAGGCGCAGGAGGGAGTAGCTGTTACCCTATCAAACATACCCCGCAGGAGGTAAGGAGGCAGGTGGGAAAACACATAGCAATACCCAAGAACGATGGTTTAACAACTTGTTGTTCACAGCCCTTTTGAAAATTCACAGCTTCCATCAGAAGCTCAGCCCAGAAAATACGCGTAAAATTTCACCTTCAATTTCAGAGGAGCTCACAGACACGCTCTCCACCACACACAGTCCTAAATTCAAACCATGTGCCACCATCAGGCGGACAAAGAAGAGCCTCGAAGTAGTCTTGCTTCTGAATTCCCTAAGCATGTCTAGCCTGGCCACCAACCATGTCCCAAGACCATCTTGGTCCTCAAGATTACCTTAGCTAAGGGCAAGAAGTCGATAACAGCCTAAGTCTTGAAATGGAGGGGTAGGGTGAGCAGGGGATAAAGCACGGCCAACCTGCTCATAGGAACAGCGAGGAAGCTTCAAGAAAAGTCAACCAAATCTGGTCTGATCTAAGACTTCTTCAAGTCAGACCCTAAGTCATCTTGTGAGCCATCCTTAAGGCCTGCCCAGAGGATGACAACCACAGCTCTCAAACAAGCTAGGAGAGGTCGTTATAAATCATGTTCCTCTGCCTGGTTTTGCTGAGAAAGCCAGAAAGAGATGGGGGTGAGGTTCCCACTGAGGCATCAGGGAACCTGGCCCTCAAACCTCTTCCGTCTCCCTGGCCGAGCTGCACCTCCGGAATCTGCACCTGTTTCCTAATGTGTAAAATGACAAACCTAGGCTGTTTTTTTGTTTTTGGTTTTTTTCCAGATTTCTTTCAGACCAAGTCTGTAATTCTGACAGCAGTAAGAGGTGTGCCTCAAAACCTTTTGGGAAAGAGTGCCCCTCACCATGACCTATTTCCCCAGGTTCTGACTCAGGAAGCTTGCCAAATAATTATGCATACTTTCAGGAACATGATTCTGGCTCCAAAGTTCCTGCATCTCACGGGGGCATGAGAATGCTGGGGCCAAGGCTAAGGTGCAGCTTCTGGGGGCAGGGTCTTTAACCAGGGAGTCACGGCTCAGACCACCAGGGCAAAAGCAAGGAGGAGCAGTTAGAAACCAGCATGAGCTGTGGAGGGGCAGAAGCAGAAGGCACCCCCACTTCCCCCAGCCTACTTTACCCTCTGCAGAGTCTGCAGTAGTTCTCCAACCCAGAGAGCAAACCTGCAGCCAGAGAGCACATCAGCTCACACGTGGGTCTGTAGAGCAGTTTCAATTTTAAAAATCAAGGTATTCCATTAAAAAGTCAGGGTACTGGGATTCTTTAAATACAGAAAATCCAGCAAGCAGAGGATAGAACCTAGTGGACTCTGACCCCAACAGCAATGGACACAGCTATCCAGGAACCAATGGCCCACACCTGGCCAGCCTCACTCACTTAGGTTACCTGCATAGCTCCTGGGGTGGGGGAGTTTGTGACTGCCTATTGCAAAGCTTTCCCAATAGCCATTAACACATTAAGTGTGGATACTACCATCCCAGAGGGTTTAGATGCTCAATAAATGAGAATGTCAACGCCCATGATAAAGAACCAGGCACAGGAAAGTTTTATTATAATACACTAGCTGTATACCAGGCCTGCCAAACACCCCTTTTTAGGAAATGCCAAAAAAAAAATCTAATTTGAACACTTACAATTCAACTTGCCAGCCAATTAAGCTGTCAAAATAGTTATCTGAGTGCTTTCATCAATTCTGAAATTCAAAGACATTTATATGTGCCTAGAACCTGAAAGTGTAGAAAAAGTTGCAGCCTTCAAGTTTACACTTCGCTTCCACCTTCCCCCCAGACTCTTGCTAAAACTATAAACTCTTCCAACTTAAGCTGCCTTCTTTATAGTTCGCTAAAAAACTGCTCTAACCAGCACTATCTCTCGTGCTTAAAAGTAACGGGGGTGGGGGTGGGGAGGAGGAGAGCTTGTTAAGCTACTAACGGGCAAAAGAGAATTGGGTCAGACTCGGTCCAAAGTCTATTCAACAGGTGGGGCGTTCATCAAGCGGCAACTTGCCTTCCAAGAACAAACTTGTCGCATGGTTCAGTTTTCTCTTGGCCGTGATAGAAGCAATCTTACTTCCTTCCCCAACTAGGTCGAAGGAAAGATTCACTGGGAGTTAGTTATAACAATACGCTTTTCCGGTTTGTTTCCCAAGTTCCCGGAGCTCTGTTTTAACTTTGGAGCAACGCAGATGTAAAAACAGAGGGCACTGGGTGACCAGGACTGTGAGCCGGACCCTGCGGGGAAACCATCTGTACGGACACTGGATGCAAGTGTCTTCGAATTCCTCTCCGTCGCCGACGACCTTACCCCGAATACAGGCTGCGAAGGGCTCTTAGCCGGCTACTCCCCAGCCCACCCCACGCCCAGCGTTCCCGAGGGGACCGACCCAGAGCCCCCGCCCGCCCCCGCTGCGCCCCGCGACTCACTGCTCGGCTGAGCACCGCACCGCGGTCCGCGGCTGCCCGCCGGCCGCCGCCTTCCCGCCCTCCCGCGCCGCGGCTCTCGCGGGGCCCGGGGACGCGGCCCCCGCCTCCCGCGCCGGCTCCTCAGCACAGCTCGCGCCCGGCCACGATCCGGGCTGGGGCATGGTGCCCCGATTCATCGGGCCGCCGCCGGCGGCGGCGACGCCGGGGTTCGGCCGCCTCCCAACGATCCGGGGCCCCTCCCGTCGGGGCGCCCGGCCGTGCCGCCGCCGCCGCTGTACCGCCCGCCGGCTTCCGAGGCTGCGCAGAACGCTTCCGCACGCGTCACCGCCGCCGGGCCCGAGCCCTCTGACCCGCGATGAGGGGGCGTGGCCCTCTAGGACTGGGTGGGCGGGGAGCCCTTCGACGCGGCGCCTGAGCTTGCGGCTGCGCGGGCTGAGCCGCGGTCGAGTGGAAGACCTGCATGGGGTGGACACTGCGCATGCTCCACACAGCTGGTCCAAGCTGGGGTTCCCCGCGCGTCAGGTTTGCCGTGGATGTTGCGGCCCTTCCGGGGCGTGAAAGGAGGGGAAGAACACTGAACCAGCGGAGGAACGCGAGGACGAGGAAGGCCAGCCTGGGGTGTGAAGAATGCTAATGTGTTTGGGCGCCTTGCAGTGTCATTCTGGACTTCCGAGCCGGGCGGGGTTTCCTTGACCATAAAACGAAGGATGTGGGCAGACTGAGTGATGTGCGGCTCGCCTGGCCTTCCCCGAGTGACAGCTCCGTCACGACCCGCCCCCGAGCCCGGAGAGCTTTGGTCTTGGGCGTGGGGTCAGGCTTGTTGCTCCGGGGCTGGGAGTTACGGTCCCTCCTCTCTGCGAGGGCGGGAGGCTGAACTGGTTCTACCCGAGTTGAGCAAGCTCTGCAGTGTGTTCATGGGCCGTATTCTCTAAAGTGAAGTTTAATCTGTTTCATTCTGTCTCCCTCTCTCTGCCCCTTCCCCGCTCATGCTTTGTCTCTCAAAAATGAATAAACGTTAAACAAAAAATTAAAGTGAAATCTGATGTAAGGGAATACGAGCAAAGGGAAAATATTAGCAGACCTCAAAGATCAGAAGAAGGCGAAATGTTTCATCTCTGGGGAGAAAATAGAGTCGCCTCGAAAGATGAGCAGTCGGGAAATGCACGGGGGTATTTCTAAAGCAGAGTGCAGGACCGGGGTATGGAGGAAGGGAACCCATGGGCACTTCAGAAACCCGCAACTATTCGGGGACAAAACAGGTAGCAGGAGATTTTACTGAAAAATGAAACTGGAAGAAGAATGCTAGGGACCAGATGGGAAAGAGCTTCCTTAGGCTAAAGAGGGAGCTGGTGCTTGAGCCTCCGGGAAGATGGGAAGGTGGAGACTATTTTAAAAGATCACTTTGCAGTTAGAGAAAAGATTGGAAAAGAGCAAAACTGGGAGTCCAGCGTAGCGAGGCTAGATAGTAGTGGGCATCAAAGGGAGAAACTGGATGGGGAGAATATTTTGTCCTCCAAGAATATTGGAGGAGAGCGGTCAAAAGGCACAAACTTCCAGTTATAAGATAAGTGCCAGGGATGTAATGTATAACATGATGACTATGTCTGACGCTGCTGTAGGATATATAGGAAAGCTGTTAAAAGTAGATCCTAGGAGAATTTATTTCTTGTATCTATATAAGATGGTAAGTGTTTAAACCTACTGCGGTAGACATTTCACGGTATATGTAAATCAAACCATTGTGTTACACACTTTAATTTTTTTTTTCAACGTTTATTTATTTTTGGGACAGAGAGAGACAGAGCATGAACGGGGGAGGGGCAGAGAGAGAGAGGGAGACACAGAATCGGAAACAGGCTCCAGGCTCTGAGCCATCAGCCCAGAGCCTGACGCGGGGCTCGAACTCACGGACCGCGAGATCGTGACCTGGCTGAAGTCGGACGCTTAACCGACTGCGCCACCCAGGCGCCCCTGTTACACACTTTAAATTGATGCAGTGATGTGTGTCCATTATTTTTCAATAAGCTGGAAAAATAGGGGTACAATAATTGTACTTTGAGGTGAAAAACTATGGGGTGGGTTTTTTTTTTCCTTTCATTTTGAAAAAGTAATAAGCCCGCATGCTTTAAAAAATTCAGAGCATACAAAAGAATATATCGGGACGGGTTGTATTTCCCATGGCTGTTAAGGATGTGGGATTATCGTGCCCTGAATAGTATCCCCCCAAATTCATGTCCACTTGGAACCTCAGTGTGACCTGCTTGGAAATAGGGTCTTTGCAGATGTAATCCGTTAAGAGGAAGGTCTTACTAGACTAGAGTAGGCCAGAAATCCAGTGACTGGTGTCCACGTAAGAGGAGAGGTTGCCGCATATAGTCACAGAAGAAATAAGGACATGTGAAGTTGGACGCAGAGATTGAAGTGTTGTAACTATATGCAAAGAAATGCAGGAAAAGGCAAGGAAAGAGGATTCCAAAGAGTCTTCCGAAGAAGTGTGGCCCTGCTGACAACTTATTTCAGACATCTGTCCTCCAGAACTGTGAGGGGATAAGTTTCTGTTGTTTCAAGCCCTCATTTTGTGGTAGTTTGCTGTGGCAGCTAGGAAACTAACAGAGATCAAGCTGAAGACTTAAAATTTTATCAGGCTGAATTTATTGAAAAGGGCCCACTAAGCAGATATTCTAGATACAAGATGTTGTTTCCAAGGGTTAGCAAAAGCTTAACAGTTTGTTTGAATGGTTGCTGAGTATGTCTTTTTCTATTATGCATGTGAATCTGGGAAAATAATCATAAGATGGGTGTAGGGACCCACTGGGCCCACGATGAGAAGGACCTGAGCAACACCCTATTGATCTCTTGACTTCCATCCTCCCCAAAGTACCGACACTAAATGAAATGACAGAGCTGACTAGGATACTATCGGGGAAGGTATCCAAAGGCTTGGAGGTAAAGGAGTTGACACATTAGAACGGACTTACCGTGTAAGACTTGCTCATCCACCCCAGAAGGGTCCAAGGGACATTACCCTTTACCATGACTGTGAGAAGTAAATCTATGAGGGGAGCCCCAGCAGCTTTGAAGGGCTCTGCAATTGTTCTCTGTAATCCGGTAAATCTTACAATAGAAACTACCACCATAAAACTGGGATTCCTAAACGCAGTGGGGATAATAGAATCCTAGGATAGCAGGAACCAAGAGGTGGCACTTAGCTGCCAAAAGCTAGATGGCTGTGGTTACTGTAATGGACAGCTGAACCCAAGCAGTAATTAGAATTGTCTGACTTGTAGAGACCTATGACATTGCCCTCTTGATCATAGTGTCCCTAGGGAAAAGAAGAAATGGACAATCTACTAAATTCATACTTGGTATAAACAGAAGAGTTCTAGGCCTAGTGAACAGAAGTCCTAACTTGCATCACCGAAACAGGAAGTCACAGCCCCTCCATCATTTCCTATACTTGAGCCAGTTTACACACTTAGAATTCTTTGAATGAAGGAGAGGCCAAGTCCTCTTGAACAACCTTGCTATGTTGCCAAAAATGTATATTATTTATTAATAAACTGTTAGGCTTTTCTAACCCTCGAGGTAACATGCTGTATCTAGAATATCTATTTAGTGGGTCCTTTTCAATAAATTCAGCCTGATAAAATTTTATCAGTCTTCATCTTGATCTCTGTTGTGTTCTAGGCCAAATCCTCTTGAGGAAAGACCTTGCTACATTGCCAAAAATGTATATTACCCTTCCCCCAAAGGGTCCTATGGCCATCTACCAGGGTGATTGCGCATTGGGGGAAAGGAAATAATCAGGCTTTGGGAGACTAGGAGACAATGGCTCTAACTTGACACTGATTCATGGAAACCCAAAACATCATTGTGTCTGCACAGTGTAGGGTCTTATGGAAGTGATTAATGGGGTTTTAGCTCAGGTTCATCTCACATTAGGCCCAGTGGGTCTCTGGACACATCCTGTGGTTACTTCCCCAGTTCCAGAGTGTGTAATCAAAATAGACATGCTCAGCAACTAGCAGAATTCCCAGTTGATCCCCTGAGCTATAGAGCAAAGGTTGTTATGGTAGAAAAGGCTAAATGGGGAGACCTGGGTGGCTCAGTCGGTTGAGTATCCAACTCTTGATTTCAGCTCAGGTCATAATCCCAGGGTCATGAGATCGAGCCCCGGGTCGGGCTCTACACTGAGTACGGAGCCTGCTTAAGAGTCTCTCTGTCTCTCGACCTCCACCTCTCTCCTCTGCTTGTGCTCTCTCTCTATAAAAATGTATAGGCTCTCTGCCTATAAAAATGTAAACCAAAAGCAACACCACATTCTTGGAAGAATTGCAAAAATTAGCACTACCATTAAGGACTTGAAAGTTGCAGAAGTTATGATACCCACTACATTCCTTTTCAACCAGCCTATTTGGCATGTGTATAAGACAGAGGGATCTTGGGAATGACAACGGATTTTCATAGATTATGTGGTGATTCTAGTTGTACTGCTATTCCAGATGTGGTTTCATTGCTTGAGCAAATCAACACATTCCCTAGAACTTGCTATGTAGCTATTGATCTGGCAAATCCTTTTTGCCTCTATACCTGTTGAAAAAGACTACCAGAAGGAATTCACTTTCAACTGGCAAGGCCAGCGATTCACCTTCATTAGCCCACCACAGGATATATCAACTCTTCAGCCCTATGTCATGATTTAGTCTGTGGAGACCTCCTTTCCCTTCCACAGAAAATCACACTGTTCCATTACACTGAAGATCATATGCAGGAAATAGCAATTACTGTACACATATTGGTGAGATATTTGCACTTCAGAGGATGGGAAATAAATCCTCCAAAATTCCAGGGCTTTCTTCCTCAGTGAAATCACTAGGGGTCCAGTGGTATGGAGTGTATCAAGGGGAAGGATAAGTTGTTATTAAAGGAAGAGGCACAACACCTTGTAAGAAAAGAGAAGTTTCTGCCACATTCCCAGGCTACTGTGCAAGTTGCTCTGCCATTTGGGTCAAAGGATCCAGTAAATCCAACGGTGCTTGAAGTGTCAGTGGCAGATAGAGATGCTGTTTGAAGTCTTTGGCAAGCAGGTTTAAGTGAATCACAAGACGAACCTTAGGATTTGGGACTAAAGCCCTGCTGTCCTCTGTGGAAATGATTCTCCTTTTGAGAAACAGCT